ATATATATATATATATAAACATGTAGTTCCAAAAATTAATTAGAGTGCAAGCAACATGTAAATTCAAGAGCCTATTCAAACATTAGTAAGTAGCACGAGAGTTTGTGACACTAGGTGAACTTGAAATAAACAAACATACTTCGTTAGGAATATCTCCCGAGACAATCATGTGAAGCAAAATTAGAAAACAAAATGATGGATTGATGACACCAATGCTTCTATTTGAAGCTTATAAAAAGATCTTTAATGCATAAAATAATACACAAAGCAAACATTTTCTTGGTGTGAACTTATTTTGCACTAACTTTTCGTAATATTTTGCATTTCAATAATTCTTTTTATCAACTTTAGAACATCTTTGTATATTTTCTTGAATCAACACAACTCTTCATCAATAAAACTTTTAGATCATTATTTGTAAGTTTTTTCTATAAATTTATTTAAACATTTCATATCTAATATCATTAGATAAGTATGAAATGATAAAGAGATAAAATAGAGATCGGCAAAATAGGAAAAAACAAAAGTTAATGATCATTTAACAACAAAGAAATATGACAACAAAGAAATAAAAAGATGTAAGTCTCAACTTTTTTTTTTGTTGTTGTAAAGTTGTGCAAAAATGAATGATAAATATATTGTAATTCAATCGTAATTTATTAACATATTACTCACAATCAATTAAATTATTATTTTTTATAATGAAATCATAAAAAGTTTTTTTAATCGAATAAATAAAAGTTTTATTCGTAAACGTTTACTTTTGAAACTTTCAACCAATTATAATTTTTTTTATTCGATTGAAAGTTTAAATTTTTTTTGTTTTATAATTATTTATATGCTTTATTTAATTTTTTTATTTTAATTAATTTTTAATCTAATTTAATTTTACTTTAAAATTATTTACTTACTTTTAATTGATTAAAATAAAAAATAATTTTTTATTTTCTATTTCTTTGTTTTTTTACTTATTTATTTATTTATTTTTCTCTTCACTTTTTTTTTTATATATCTTATTTTTCACTTATTTTTTTTCATCTTATCAAACATATATAATATTATTTCTCATTTGTTTTTCACTTATTTTTGTTCAACTAAACTAAACTTTTATTATATTTTTTACCTATTCCTACTCGTTTCTCTTATTTTTATTTCTCATTTATTTCTTTCCTCTACCAAACACACCCTATATATTCTTTACAGTTACATGTTCTCTTTGATTTTAATTATACTTCTTGTATTAAAGCTAATCTATCATCAGTGTAAAAATAGCTACCTTTCTCATCATCATCCAGCTAATCTATCATCAGTGTAACACCGAAAGGTACTTAGTCATTGGTCAACCCTTGAGAGTAAAATCACCCTAACAATTAATTAAGAGAATAATAATAATAGCTACCTTTCTCATAACTTAACCAGTTAAACCTAGGACGGGAGGACAAAATAAAACGTGTCCCTTCAAGTTCTCAAATCGTTCAGTACTTCTGGGAAGTGGAATGTCCTTGACCACATCAGAGTCTGAAGCTGTTTTTCTCTTCAATCTGTATTTTCCTGTTAGAAATTGCAACGATGGATATTGTTTTATATAAAAGTTTCCGAGTATATTTATATTTGAGCATAGGAGAACTGGGATAACACGGAGAAGTAAAGGTATTAACTTTGTTACATTTTTATATAAATTATTCAATGGACTGAAAGGCAATTTTTGAAACATTTACGATCTGTTAAACGGATCATTTTTTCCTGATACACAATTTTTTGGCCATCACACAATGTGTTATTCCTTCTTTAAGCCCTACACGTTGCCTTACTGTTTACCCAATCCAAAGTTGGTGTTCAGAAATTTTCAATTAAGGGTCTAAAAGGTTTTAACTTCGATAAACGACACCGATTCATTAGTGAATTCTAACCATTAAAACCGAAAACTTTTTTCATATATCTAACCATAAACAATTTAATGTTTAATAAAGTAACAGGAAGAACAAAAATCACTCGCGATTAATGCGCATTGATATAAATGCTGATAATCACATTGGATACAAAACAATTACGTACATTGTAAGAGGACAAGAATGTCGGGAAGACACAAAATCATCTCTCCCAACAATGCCCCCACATGACATACCCAGTAAGGGAATAAAACTGGACACATACTGCGTATGACCTTAAGATGAATGCGATAGCAATACTTATCTACAAAACTATAACATTCCAACTAAAAAGTCTAAAAAAAGGTGGGACAGTCTCAATATATGTAGAAAAAACTGAAAGTGTCCATCCGACAAGAATGCATAATTTTGATTAAAACCATATGTAGCTTCATCTAATATCTTGGACCAGATTGTGGGGGAGCAGGAGGCAACCTAGTTGGCGTCCGACGACTGCTAGAATTTGAACCTGAGCTCACGTCGCCATTTTGGGATGGGTCACTGTAACGTCTACTATGACCACCAGAACCATACCTAGATGACAAGTCGCTTGGACCATTGGCAGCAGCATCAAAGGCAGACCTCCAATCATCACCTGATGGGGGTCCAGAGCTTCTCAGGCCGCTTTCTTCATGATTTTTTTTGTCCAAATTATATGAAAAATCAACAATATATTAGTCTATATATACATCTCAACTTATGCATATGCAGATTCTAGGCAAATGTAATAGTGGTTACTTAAGTAGTCTGCAATTAGCGCATTATTTATGTTCAACAACTATAATGTTCCAAGAGAATTACTACAAAATTTATATACCATCATCTCATCAGTGTTTTTTTTTTCAACAAAAGTAGAAGTTCTTCCAAAATAGATAGCAAACCAGCTAAGCTTTCACGGAAAGTAAATATTATATAACATGGAACAATAGAAAATTCCAAGAATATACCTCAAGCAACTTTGAAGACATTACCTGCTGCACTCCCTCTATCAGACCAATTGGATGCTGCAGCTGCTCTGTTGTCATGGACACTAAGCTGCCTAGTGAGTTTTGAAAGAAGGGAAGACTGTTTCTGAACTCGCTCCCTTTTGTTCTTGACATTGTGATCTTCCTGGAGCAGCTCCTCAATTTTTGCAGAGCTTTGAGCACTGCCAACCACAACATTAAAAAGGACAATTACTTTTCACTATCAAATGTTTCATTTCTGAAGAGAAAATTATAAATAAGTGAAATGCTTAATTATAATCAAAGATTCAAGTATTATTATGTAGTAGACACAAAAAAAAGTTATTAGACAAACAAGAGGGAAAGTATGACTAGGGATAGGATAAGATCACAAAGAAATCCTACTAAACAGAAAAAGTAAAAAAAAAAAGAAGGAACTTAAATATTAAGACAGGCAAATCTACCCAGTGTGTTTATATATCAGAAATGGCAACTCATGGGCAAAGCATCAGAGACACCAAAAATATAATACTATCCCAGAACAACTTAAAGATGTAAGCACACTACACTGCTCCAACCAAATATACTAAGCAACTTCATAAACTTGGCCTACTTGTATACCCAAAGAGTCTGTGTTGATCCCCAAGAAAATCATTAAACAAAAAACACAAAATCCATAGGAGCATTCACATTATGACCAAATTCATACACGTGGTTGAATATAACATTTTGGTTGCGTGAACTTCAATATTTTCAATGGTGAAAGGAGCCAATATAGGTTGAATGCCAGTACATTACATAGTATCCATTAAGAAGTAAAACACAATGGTCATCAGACAGTACATCAAGAAGAGATAGCACTAACCTGACAGAACTGTATAACTGGTTGAGCATGTCTTCTTTGGCTTTCTCTACTTGGCAAAGAACAACTGCCTGCTCAACCAAAGTGAAATGATCTCACAAACAGCATCAAATCTGAATACAAGAATTATGATAGTTTATAAAATAAACTCAC